ATTACCCATCTTTGATCTTTGATTTCTTTATCTGTAAATTCAGAAAGAAGAACTCAGTAATCTTTAAGTTCCTTTGAAGGTCTTCTATATCTCTCATTCTACACTTACATTTAGACAGTCTTTTTATCCAGAGGCATGGTTTACTTCTTCATAAAATATTCTTGAACTGATTACTCTCTCCTATTAATCCTTAAAGCAGCTACTAATGGTAAGAGTGGGAAGGCAGCCAATCAGGCCCTGTTTTGTGTTATATCTGACACTGTTGTCTTGTTATCTGTTACCTGTTTATGTATCTGGTCTCCTGAATTAGCTTGAGCCTCCTTGAGGATGAGGATGGTGTGTTATTCTTTTTTTGACTCTCCATTTTAAATTGTAACATGTAAGCCTAAAAATAACTCAGTGGAAACTGATACACCTAAAAATTGAGTGTATTAATAAATTTTAGCACACTTTCAGAATATTCTTTTTTCCAGTATTAGAGCCCTTCAACAGCACTGCATGACCTATGGGGCTTTAGGTAAGTCATTTCACATTTCTGGGACCTAAGTTTGTAACTATAAAATAGGAGGATTGAGCTAGATAAAATAATAATAAATAAGATCACTTCTTTGTGTACTAATCTCTCATTTTTTAAATGCTATGGAAATTTAGGACATACGTGTTTTTCACTAACCTGATTCTTCTGCTTACCTGGACTTAGTTATGAGATATAAGCTTAGCTGAGAGTTATAAACATGTAACTCTAGGCACCAGCTCCTGAAGGCATGCAGGTTGACCATCACAGGTAGTCTGGTTGGGGTGCCACCAGTGTGCTCTTCCACCTTGCACCCCAACCTCCTACCCTCACCCCCAACCCACATAGTATCCCACACTACTTCAAGTCTTCTAAGAGTTGATGCTTAGGGGCCACTCTGTTCTCAAAGCCAGTATGTTGAACTGATTTTCTTTTGATTGGTTAGAAGGCTAGAGGTAGAAAGCTTCATCTAAACTCGTCACCATTATTTTGGGTCTTGATTATAATATATTGTCAAAATTTGAAATAGCTTTCCAAAAGTGATAATGATTTTTCTAAATAGATAATTCTATCTGTCTCTTTGGAAGTACACCAGGCTTAATAAAGATGTAGGTTACATAATCTTTTCCCCAGTCTGGAACCTGTAGTTGAATAAGTAGTTTGTGTGAAATGCAGGGATTATTATTTAGTACTCTTCTATTTTTCTCCTAGTTCGCATAATTATAAACTGTTTATTCTAAAACTGCCTTCTATATGATAGAAATATATATACTTTACCAAAAGACCTGAAGTTCCTTAATAATACTTCTAGTGAACCAAATGAATCAGTATTTATCTGAAAATGTTAACAATTTTCAAGTGTAGGAATTTGTATGAAAACATATAAGTAATCCAGTAATTCCATGAGTGGACTAGATATATCATCCTCATTCCCAAGTGAAGTCAACAACAACAACAAAAACAAAGGCCAGTAAAATTTCTTTGTAAGAGATTGTAAAACAGATCATTTTAAAGCAACATTAGTTTTTATGAGGAAAACTATGGGCAGGAGTCTGGGCTTTGGACTCAGATAACTCTGAGCTTTAAATCCTGGCCCAATTATTGAGGGCACCTGTTGAGATGAGCACTGGGTGTTGTATGGAAACCAACTTGACAACGAATTTCATAATAAAAAAAAGAAAAAAGAAAAAAGAAAAAAAAGACACATAATAATTAAAATGGCAAAAAATAAAGAGAGAACCTTGAAAGCAGCAAGAGAAAACCAAACAAGAATATTTTATCCAGCAATGTTAACATTCAGAATTGAAGAAGAAATAGTTTCCCAGGCAAAATTTAATGGCCCTACCTATGGCATATCATTTTAAGTATACATGTGACAGTTATTTAAAATACTGGAAATGTCAAATACATGTTATCATTATAAAATCATTTCTAAACAAAAGTTTTTAGCTCAATTTACTTGAGCTGATATTTAATGAATAGAAAAAAATAATTAGAAGCTGGGAAGGGCACTGATGCAGGGAACGGGGCCAAAGATTATGATTGCTGGCTTTGAGGCTGACTTACCTACTTTCTGCAAAGAATGTCAAGGACAAGTTGAACAATACCCTTCTTCCTCTTGTATTAAGGGGTCCGTAGCAAACAGCACCCTCCATCAGTTCTGTGAATCTGTGAACTTCTCTCTGTGTTTAGAACCACAAAATGATTTTTGATTATTTTCCTTAACACAAAATGTAAAGATATCTTCGTTTCCTCCATCTACAGTACACCTCATCTTTTAGACACAATCTTGAATGAATTAACATTTCATACATAATTTTTAATTTGGGACTTCCCTTCCCAAGCAAAGCTTGGGGGTAACTAATATTTCGCTGATTTCAGCAACTGTAAAGATTTCCAACTGCCTCAATTGTATTATCATTTGTCTCAGCAAAATTTTTGCTTGTTTTGCACTCATTAAAAAAAAACAATAAGGGCATATTGCAAAAAGATATTAAAATATTTATAAAAACCACACAGTGTCATAAAAGTATCTTTCTCCTAGGCCTGGTGATGAATGTTCCAAGGTTCTGATTCCTCCAACTTGCTGCAGGTGATATTCCTCAACTCTAGGTATCTTCAGGGCACTTAATGGGGGTTCTATACTTGGCAGAACCACCAACTCTCTGTAATTTTTTAAAAGTTTTGATATGGTAATTTATAATAAATACATATTTGGTCTTTGTCTTTTTTCTGGCACAGAGCTCCTAAAATTCTTGGAATTCCCAAGTGATAAGAACAATATAGATGTCTCATGTTACAAGGTGAGGTTTGGAAAGCACCTAAAAGTGGGAACTGGTTGCCAGGAGAGCCAAACATGGAATTAGAAGGTTAGAAGTTTCAGTCTCAACCCCCCCTCCCCAATTTCCTGGGAGGAGAGAGGGGCTCTAGATTGAGTTCAACCACCAAAGAGCAATGACTTAATAAATCATGCCTATGTAATGAAGCTTTCATAAAAATCCAAAAGCAGAGTTCTGGTAGCTTCTAGGTAGGTGAACAAGTAAAGATTTGGGCAGATTGCCATGATTGCCATGAAGCCTTCATGCCCTTTCCCCATACCTTGTCCTATGCATCTCTTGCATTTGGCTATTCCTGAGTTACAACCTTTTTAATGAATCAGTAGTTTGGTAAGTAAAGGGTTTTACTGAGTTTTGTAGTTGCTCTAGGAAATTACTCAAATCCAAGGAAGGGGTTGTTGCAGACCTTCAAGCTATAGCCAGTGGGTCAGAAGCACAGGTTTTATGTATTGGTTTAATATGATTTTAGATCCACTAGCAAGACAAAATAAAACTTGCCTTCATAAGTAAAGCTGTTTTGATATAAAAATAAAAGAAAATAAAAAAGTTGTTTCAGGATGTCATTATCTCATCTTTTCTCACTAATAAAAACTCAGTAGCTCAGCTGCTGAGGGCCCTGCTGGAGGCTTATCAGTAAAAATATGTGAAGAAGCAACCCTGAAAAGGGGACATTAATACTACAAATACCAAGAGTTTGTGAGGACTATCCAAGAGTGTTTAGTATGGTCAAGGCTACAATTGGCTGATCTAAATAGCCTTCTGAAGACCTTGGGGGAAGTTAGCTCCTGCCATGGTAAAACCAGCAGTGATGAAAGCCATGCAGCAACCTAATGTAGAAGATCATCTTGCCCACTTACACCTTGCCATTGTTCTCTATCACATGCTGTAGCACAGGGGAATTTTACCTTTGCACTGGTAGCTGGACATCAGTTCTTGGTTGGCTAAACTATCTCTGCTGAGTATCATTTTGCCCTGTATTTTAACCTTATAAATCTATTCCTGGACTTTGATACTTTGGACCTTTTTTCATGTTTTTGAGAAACATTTGTGTATGCTTAATTATAGAATATTCAAAACACAAAGGAAATTACAAAGAATAAATACCCTTATCTACCCTTATCCCATTTAACAAATGTTAAAATATTAAAGTATTAGATATCAAAATATCAGGAGTTGAATGTTAAGTTTAACAAATTTAGAAGTTCCCTTTTCACCTCATCTGAGGTAAACATTGTTCCATATTCTATCCTCATAGATTAGTTTTGCCTGTTCCTACAAAATGAATCAAACATTTTGCAGTCTGGTGTTTGACTTTTTTTCCTAATGACGAAGTTGAGATTCATCCATATTGTTACATCAATCTGTAGTCTGTTCTCTTATTATGGACTAGTAAACCCCTTGTATGACTACTAAGCCTATTTGCCAGTTTGATTATACATTTTCCTCTTGATGGAATCTGGTTTTTAATTTACATTAAATTTTTAAATTTAAATTCAAGTTAGTTAACATATAGTTTATTATTGGTTTCAGTACAATTTAGTGATTCATCACTTACATATAACATACAATAGTGCTCATCCCAAAAAGTGCCCTCCTTAATGCCCATCACCCATTTAGCTCACCCCCACCTACCTCCCCTCTAGCAACCCTCAGTTTCTATTCTGTATTTAAGAGCCTGACACAGGGCTTAAACTCATGGACCATGAGATCATGACCTGAGTTGTAGTCAGTCACGTAACCGACTGACCCACCCAGATGCACCGAGTCTGGTTTTTTAAACAACAGCCTCCTAACTCATGCTCAATCCCCAACACTGCTATCTGAGGGGGAGGTCTGTCTTTCTCCAGACTCACATCCATGTGGTGGGGCATCTGCAGCCATCTGTTTTACCCCTTAAAGTCATATGCACTTTGGTTTCTGGGCCCCAGGATTCCCTGGGTACCAACTGGATCTCAAGGGATGGGGGAGGGTGGACTTCTGGGAAACCCAGGCCCTGGACAAGGAAGCCAGATCTCTAGAGGTGGTGGCGGTGGGAGAGTATGGGCGATTTTCTCCAAGGGTGTCTTTGGCCTCCTGTCCCAGCCTCTATTCTATGATTAACCAAAGACTTCCTCACTGTGCCCCTCCTTCTGTCACTTGAAGGCCTGAGTCATTATTTTAATTCTCCCCGAGGACACTGAGCATCCTTCAGTGCTCTATTGCTCAGCTCTTCACTTCTCCTTCGATACCCTGCTCAATGATGGCTTTTGGAATTATGCTCCTCTTAGGTGGTAAGTGGGGCCTCAGAGCTGGAAGAGGTCTGGGCGGGGGCGTCTCTGTCTGATAGGGCATTCTGGGGCTGGTGGTCAACTCATATAGCTCTGTGGAGGAGGTGAGGCAAGGGAGTGTCTTAGTGTCTAGATTCTGGTGTGGAAAGAGGAATGGCCTGGAATCAGGGGAGGGTCATAACCTGAGCAAAGATGAGATAAGATGGACTCATAGGCTAAGTTTGGGTGGAGAATAAGCTACTTCTCCATATTCCCCAAGGCTTCCCCCCACCTTCTGTCAGGCCCCTGGTGTGTGTGTGTGTGTGTGTGTGTGTGTGTGTGGTGGTATGGTTGACAGGAGTCAGCCACAGAGCCCCAGTGGGGAAGGCCATAGAAGTCACTAGGGAGGGGAAACTTTGGATATCTCATCCTTGGTCCTTGGTTTTGATTTCAGGTAGGTTGTTCCACGACTGCCAAGAGAATAGTCCAGAAATTGAACCTGTAACAGGATCACATTTCTGTGTCATTTGAAATCATTTGTGTGTCAGTCAAAAATCAGATTCCACACAAAAATCCAGACTTTCAGCTTCTCTTGAGAAATGGGGAGATCTGGAGCTCTGGATTCTAGACCCTGGTAATGCTTACCTCCTTTAAAAGGGCCACATGCTCTAAGTGCCCATAATTCCCTGGTACTCACACCACCCACTTCACTCACTGATGTCACCCTCTTGGCCTCTGAGACATTTCAGTCTGAGACTTTTGGCATCATCCTACTTGTCTGGTCATAGGTTCTTTTTTCAGACTCAGAAATAGAATCATCCTTTGAGGAGATTTGGGATGTGAAGCTCCCTTGCATGTGGCCATGGTAGGATTATGGCACCTTCAACATCTGGCCTTTTCCCAGAACCCCAAGATTCAGTTGTTTGGACCTTGCCTGTCACATCCTGGCCTAATGCTTTATATTCTTAGAGCTTCCCTACTTTGGGGTTGGAGTTGACTCCTCAATCCAGAGACAGCTGGGAATTCTAGTAGAAATGGAGAAGAAACCTGCTGTCTAGGAGTGAGAGTTGTGGGAAAAGCCCTTGAAATGTAGGGGGCCTTCCACTGAGGTTTTTGAGCTTAGTCACCAGAGAGGAGAATGTGAAGGATCAGGAGAGTGGGTTGGAATCCTGGCTATACCAGGGACTTCCTGTGCAGTTCTGGGTCAGCCAACAAATAGTAATTAGTCACCTGTTAAGGGCCAGGCACTGCCTCAGGCACCAACACAAGATGGTTGCAGTCCTTGTTGTCTTAGAGCCTAGCACCAAGGAAGGGGGTCATGGGAAACACATAAGAATAAATAATTAATCAAAAAATTCTAAGTCTGTTTCCCCATCTGGACCTTAGGGTGGACCATGATGTAATTGTTAATGGTGTCCCTTTCATTCTCAGAAGGTCTCAGTTTAGGATATGAATTGTATTATCATAAGGGACATTCTTTTTTTTTTATTTTTTTTCAACGTTTATTTATTTTTGGGACAGAGAGAGACAGAGCATGAACGGGGGAGGGGCAGAGAGAGAGGGAGACACAGAATCGGAAACAGGCTCCAGGCTCTGAGCCATCAGCCCAGAGCCTGACGCGGGGCTTGAACTCACGGACCGCGAGATCGTGACCTGGCTGAAGTCGGACGCTTAACCGACTGCGCCACCCAGGCGCCCCTCATAAGGGACATTCTTGAGCTAACATACCATGAGGTGACAGGCTCAATTTCAGGTTGTACATGTCCTTTGAAATATCCTTGAGGGGCATTTCTCTGGATTGTTGCCCTTTGTATTGTGGTTTGATTATTGTTGAGGAAGGGAGAGACAGGAGCCACACAGATGGCAAATCAGGAAACAAAAACAACACCCTTCTCCTGGGAAGATGAGCTGGACTGGGGTGGGCATCAAGATCCCAAAAGTCAGGTATCCAGAGGAGATGAGGCTTCTCTGACTGTTCCTCCCACCCTCACTTCCCTCTCCATATTCCTCAGTCATTGCTTCTTATTATGGGTTCAACTTGGATGTGGAGGAGCCCATGGTCTTTCAAGAGGATGGAGTTAGCTTTGGACAGAGTGTGGCCCAGTTTGGCAGATCGAGGTAAGCCCTGCCCACTCTCCCCACCCTCACCCCTTCAGCCTTCAGGCAAATGGATGAACATGGGTTAGGAGGTATCTGGAGGAAGGGCAGCATGGGCAAAGTCTGACACCACTGACACCACTACTACCAACTATTCACGGTCCCAGGAAGGGCCACAAACTCTGGACAAGACACTCTTTCAGGAGGCAGATCTTGAATCTCCTCCAGACAGGTCTCGCTTTGTGGCATGTGACCAGTGTAAGTGACCAGTACAGTTACCCTTGCACTTGTAATAATGTTTTGCAGTCTTCTTCTTGAAATTATTAAGAATTGATCTTAGCATTTGTGTGTGGTCATTAAGATTGATGGGGAAGTGGAGATGTGCTGGAGGCTTAGAGCTTTGGCTCACATGCAGTCTAGCCTTCTGTGGAGTGGTTCTTAGCTTCCTGCTTCCCCACACCTATCCAGTGACCCCTGCTGCCCTCAGCCCCTGGTATGAGTTAGGCAAGGTCAAGGTTGGCTGTGCACAGTTTGCCCAGTCTGTGGGGTTTGCACTGGCCCTGGGAAAATCCCTGTGCCTTGGGGAATTCAACACTAAATAGCAAACAGGTAAAGACAGGACAGGTAAAGAGGAGGTCCATGGGGAGGAAAAAAAAAAGGGAAAAAAACTTTTTTTCTCCCAGAACAAAAGGCCCACATTTTTATTTCACACTGGGACTGTCAATTATGTACCTCACCCTGCTTCCAGAAACTCACATTCTCAGGTCCCAGCAGCAGGGACCCAAGTTGTTAAAGTCCCAATGTGATGCAAGTATAACAGAAATCTGGAGGCATAAGAAGGAAGAGATCAAACCCAGGAGGGAATTCTAGGAAGGCTTCACAGAGGAGGTCAAGTTGGCAATGAGCCTGAGAATACAAGAAGATTTAATTGGCCAAGAAGTAGCATATTGAGGTCACTGAGTTCTAAAAGCACATCCATCCCCCTTCCTCACCCAGCTGGCAGGCTGGGGCATGGAAGAAAATGCCAGATGTCAGAGTTATGGGTGTTTTTTTTGGTTTGTTTGTTTATTTTGAAATATACAGGGCAAAAACTGAAGTGCCCAATCTTGGAAGGTCCAACTCAATAAATTTTTCATATGTGTATACCCAGGTAGCTGCCGCCTGGATCCAGATACAGAACATCCTCAGGTCCACTCTGCTGGATTCCCTTAGGCCTTTTCTGATCACTCAAAATCCAACAAATTCAAAGATAGCCACTGTCCCACTTCCATCACCATCAGTTACACACACACACACACACACACACACACACACACATCTATAAACTATTGATTGACTGCTGTTCACCAGTATTTACAAAAAAGTAAATATATAGACTGGATGACATGCTGATTGCTACAAAGCTATTGTTTTTCCTGTTGTCTGTTGAAACACAACCCAAACACTGAAAAGACCAAGCCTATGAATCAGGAATAGATAGGGTAAAGGAAAACATGTAGATGAAAAGTTTGCTCATCCATTTATGCCAGCAGGTCCCAAACTGCTACATCTCTAACCATCTATTTAGGTTTTCATCAGCAAGTGTTAGACCCACAAGGATCTCAGCTTTCCATAAAGGAATAGCTTTCTAGAAGGAAGATTTAAATGTTAACCTAATGTGGTTTGCCTGGGTAATTAGTTAAAAACACACAAATATTTGTCTAGTTTTCTCATCTGAGTGGAGAGATTGTTGGCAGAGATAACATTTTTTTAAAATTAAAAAATTCTCTCCTCTCAAAAGGTTTTATAAATAAATTTTTGCACTTATGTGACTGTAGATATTGATATGGAGTCTGATGCTTTTGCTTTAAGTTGTCCAACTCAAATTGCTTATGTTATATTTAAATTATCCAATTAATTACAGAATAATCTTTTTGTTTTGATACCTTATGGCTTAAAATTTTTCCATGTAGGGGTGCCTGGCTGACTCAGTCAGCTAAGCATCCGAGTTTGGCTAAGGAGATGATCTCACAGTTTGTGGCTTAGAGCCACACATTCAGCTTTGTGCTGACAGCACGGAACATGCTTGGGATTCTGTCTCCCCTCCCCTCTGCCCCTCCCCAGCTCATTCATGCTCTCTCTCTTTCAAAAATAAATAACCTTTAATTTTTTTCCAGGGTACCTGTTGGATTGAGCACTGGGTGGTGTATGGAAACCAATTTGACAATAAGTTATATTTAATATAAAAAATTCTTTTTTTTCCATGTAACTTGAGGTGATCTATTTCTTGGGTGGCTCAGAATGATGGTACCCCAGAAACAAGATGCACTTACTCATGGCTGGAAAATGTTTTTCTTTTGAATATATTTATTTTTGGTTAATGTTAAAAAACAGCACTCAAACCATTTGTATATATAAATACAAATTTATTTATGTATCCTCACACATACACAAACAAAAAGTCCAGCATAGTCCTTCAGCACATGTGGGTTAAACTGAAGCTCTCCTTTTTGAATAGCCTCATGAGTGGCAAATGCCAAGAGCTTCCCTCTCAAACTCTCACTTCCTTGTTACATGGTGATACTTCCTCACCTGAAGCGCCCTGTGTTCTTACCCCTCATACAACTATATGTCATGCTTGTGCCTCCAGACTCGTGGTGGGAGCCCCCTTGGAGGTGGTGGCGGTCAACCGGACAGGACGGTTGTATGACTGTGCAGCTGCCACTGGCCTATGTCAACCTATATCACTGCACAGTGAGTGACTCCACCTGGGAATTGGGGCCCTCAATCCTCCTGTACAAGAATGTCTCTCCTTGGCCTCTAGTCCTGATTCTCCCCCCAAATGAGGGTGTGCCCATGAGTATGATCATGTGTATCTGCCCTCAGCACCACCAGAGGCCGTGAACATGTCCCTGGGCCTGTCCCTGGCAGCCTCCACCAATCGCTCCTGGCTGCTGGTGAGTTTCTCTGGGTCATAGAAGGGTCACAAGGGCAGGATCAGGGGCCAGAGGAGGCTTGGGCTGGGGGAGAAGAATATGGAGAATTCTGGGGCCCCTTTGCTCACACAGGTCTCTGCCTCTAGGCCTGCGGCCCAACCATGCACAGAGCCTGTGGGGAGAATATGTATGCAGAAGGCTTTTGCTTCCTGTTGGGCTCCCACCTGCAGACCATTCGGACAGTGCCTGCTGCCCTGCCAAGTAGGTCCCTTTAGAGACAGCATTTCTGTTTTATACACATACTGGCACAGAGGAGTGGGCAGAGCCTGAGACTATGGTCTTGGCTTCCTGTGCTCATGGCCTCTTCCCAGAGGCCTCAGTGAGCCCAAGAAGGTCTGGGAACATGGTCTGGCCTCATAAGAAGGGCAGCTTACAACAGGTTCTCTAAGCTGGTCGAGGGGAAAAGGTTCGGATGAGGTAGAAGGGAGCTTCAGAATGCTGGCAACAGGAGGCATGAGGATCTCACAGTTGCCAACAGGTGCAGAGATGCTTCTTGGGCTTTCAGAGGAAAGGTGAAAGGTGGATGGTGAAAATGTGGTGAGGATGATAGATCCAGCGATCCAAGTACGAGGCCATTCCTGATAACTCACTGATGAATTTCTAAGGGGAGCAAATGTTAGGGTCATGGAAAATGTGATGCACAATTTTGTTGCTGATGTCTTCCACAGAGAGTGGTGCCAGGGACACTGAACATCATCTCTCTGAGAGTCATTCTGAATAAGTCTGTCTTCTGTGTCCTTGGGCAAGTGACCTAATTCCCTGGTTTTCATTTCCTCATTGGTTAACTGGGTCTTAATAATTGAGGTGGTTATGAGGATTAAAATATTTAATATAAATATAAAGTGCTTAGGCTTCTGCTTGGCACATAATATGTAATTACCATTATGACTGAAATTCTAGCTAGGACCATGTGTTTGGATTAGGAGGAAGATACAGATAAACTGTCTTCTCTGTGGTATCAGAAGAGATACTGGGCTCCAAGTAAGAGCCAAGGGCACTTAAAGTGCTGACTGAGAGCAATGCTTTGGACCAGAGAAGTCATGATGCCAGGGAAAAATAAAATAGCAGCATAAACAACTCTCAACCAAACTGTGAGAGCAGAATCTACCGTGGGGACAGAGAGAGTGGAGGAAGGGTGTTCAGGACTTTGGGGGGTGCCGTGACCTGCCTTGGATGTCTGTGCAGCCAGGGTAGGGGATGTGGCATTTCAGCACTAGGAAGTAGATTCTTAATCTCTATCGTCTATTTAACCCATCCCTCCACCTACGTCTCTTCTGAAAAGGATCAGTTTGTTGTCTATAGTTGAGAGTCTGTTTCCCTGTTTCTCTCTTTCTCTCTGTCTCTATCTCTCTTTCTTTGTGTTTTTGTTTTCTTTCTTAATATTTGGGCAATGGATTTGGGCCTTTTCTGTGGAGGGTGTTGGAAAATTGGTAGTTATTGGTTCATAGACCAAGAATGACCCGGTAAGTCTGTTGAGCAGGAAGGGTTTCTGGGCCCTGGGAGACAGCTGGGCCCCACACTAGCATCTCTGATTTCTTCCTCCTTCTCTACAGAGTGTCCAAGTCAAGAGATGGACATTGTCTTCCTGATTGATGGCTCTGGAAGTATTGATCAAAGGGACTTTAAGCAGATGAAGAACTTTGTCATAGCTGTGATGGGACAGTTTGAAGGCACCAACACACTGGTGAAGATTGAGTCCCCAAGACCTGGGGAGTGCTGGGCGGGTGGTGGTGGCTGCCTTTGGGAAAGGCCAACCTAGGGGGAGACCTGGCATTGTTGGGGGTGGGCTCAGTGGACCTGTGCCATGATAAGGCTAAGGTCTCAGTGCAGGGCTGATTTGTGCCCTTACCTGAGGAAATTCCCCTGTGGCATTTAATATGTCTTTATATGGCCCAGGAAATATAAGTTTTTTTTACTGTTAAAAAGCATTGAAAGGATTGCAAAAATAGCTTTGCTATGAAATTAGACTGAAGATACCTTGGCCAAATACTTAATGATTTCTTTGTTGTGTTTTCCATGCAACTCATGATTTCTCTTATTTTATTTCTCACTAATTAGTGTACATGTGTGTGTATGAATTCTTGAGAAGTGAGGAAATATAGCCTACAAGTGGATTTTATACGTTATGAAAGTTTTTAAAAATCCTATTTTAGGGGCGCCTGGGTGGCGCAGTCGGTTAAACGTCTGACTTCAGCCAGGTCACGATCTCGCGGTCCGTGAGTTCGAGCCCCGCGTCAGGCTCTGGGCTGATGGCTCAGAGCCTGGAGCCTGTTTCCGATTCTGTGTCTCCCTCTCTCTCTGCCCCTCCCCCGTTCATGCTCTGTCTCTCTCTGTCCCAAAAATAAATAAACGTTGAAAAACAAATTAAAAAAAATCCTATTTTAACAAATATTGCAGTATTGCCAAAGTATGAAAGAAACATTATTTGTTTTTGATTTCTAGTTTTCTTTTTGGGCCAATTTCCCCCTGAGTTTTAGCCTCAAAAAACATGTAAATTGTTTATAAATCCAAAGTTAATCCAAAATTAAAGTTTATTAAAAAATAACTCTTGAGCACCAGGGCATTTTTCTTGGCCTTTGCAGTTCTCACTGATGCAGTACTCCAATGATTTGGAGATCCACTTCACCTTCACCAAATTCCAGAGCAGCTCAAGTCCTCAGAGCCTGGTGGATCCAATTCTCCAATTGAATGGCCTGACGTTTACAGCCACAGGCATCCTGAAAGTGGTGTAAGTTCCCCCTTCTACCTCATGTGGACACATTGCCACACCGCTTCCTCATGCTGGTCTGAACAGCCCTTCTCCAGGACTATGGGAAGCTCTGGGGAAAGGGTCTATAAAGGGAAGTAAGGAGGCTGTAGGGGGAATGTTCCTCCTTGGATCTGTTCCCAGATATAGGATGGGACTCTTCTGCAGTGTTTCTTCTTTGCCTGACCTTGGATTGGCAGGACCCAGATTCCACCTGGAGCAGCCAGATTCCACCTGGAGCAGCTTTGGTTCAGATAATCTGAGTTCTCATTCTGGCTCCCTGCTGGTGACCTGGAAAAATCTGGGAGTTACTGACTTTAAGTCTCAAATAACTGCCAAATGAGGACAACTTACAACTTGGTTGTAAAGATTACATGAGATAATATGCACCTCATGCATGGCATAGTCTGAGGGTACCAGGATTCCCTAGTCTCCCCAGATGACCTTCTAGAGCTGCAAATGATTTCTTTTCAAAATCAGTTTCATCTCAGGAGAGCCAAATCCCTTTCTTCCTTGACAGGAAAGAACTGTTTCATAGTAGGAATGGTGCCCGTGAAAGTGCCAAGAAGATTCTCATTGTCATCACAGATGGGCAGAAATACAAAGACCCCCTGGAATACAGTGATGTCATGCCCCTGGCAGAGAAAGCTGGCATCATTCGCTATGCCATTGGGGTACGTCCTCTTCCTCGTGGCTCTCTCAGACTGAGACTGCATCTCACTCATGCAGAAAGGCTGGTGGGCTCCTCCTCAGCTGCCTCTCTGCCACAGGTGGGAGATGCTTTCCAGGAACCCACTGCCAGGGAGGAGCTGAACACCATTGGCTCAGTGCCCTCTCAGGATCATGTGTTCAAGGTGGACAACTTTGCAGCACTCAGCAGCATCCAGAAGCAGCTGCAGGAGAAGATCTTTGCAGTGGAGGGTAAATACAGGGCGAGCTTGGGTCTTGAAATTCAAAGGTTCCCAACCCGATTGTTCCCTACAGTTCTGAGGGTCCATCCCTATTCACATGTCACCCAAAATTGTGCCCCAGAACCTGAGACCCAGACTCATTCTTCTCCTTCTAAGTCCTTGTGGTCTCATGGTCCCCAGAGCCTAAGTGACCTGTTTTCCCACAGGAACCCAGTCGAGGACAAGTAGCTCCTTCCAGCATGAGATGTCACAAGAAGGCTTCAGTTCAGTGCTCACCATGGTAGGTGGAGCATATGCTTGATAAACAGGTCTCAGGCACCAATCCTGGGCCAGCCCTGTGCTGGGTCCTGGGACCCAGAAGTAAATAAGAAGGAGATCCTGTCCTCAAGGTCACTGTCCGTTTAGAGAGAGACATATAGGCAGTGTATGTAGGTGCTAGGAGCACGGCAGAGAACAGGATAGCCAAGGTTCCTGCTCTCACACAGAGCACATATACAGTGGGAGGAGACAATAAACACAAACAAAAGATCTTCAGATTATGCTCACTGTTAGAAGAGAGCAAGAGAGATGATCAGAGGAGGCCTGAGGAATAACAACTGAGGGTGAATGATGAGAAAGGGATAGGTGTGGGAAAATCTGGGGAGAGATTGCTCCAGGGAGGGGAAAAGGCAAGTGCAAAGGTCCTGAAGCATGAACAAGGTTACTGCACTAGAGAGATAAAAGGGACAGCACAGCTGGAGCAGGTTGAGTGAGGGGCAGCATGGAAGGAGTGGGTGGAGAGATGGGAAAGACCAGATCATGCAGACCAAAGAAATGACAAAATAGCATGACTTATGTGAAAGTAGATGTGTGTTAAAAATATCCAGAGGGATTTTCTTCAAAAGAGTTTTGGGGGTGAGTTGGAGGGACATAGAAATGAATCGAGGTTGGTAATGAATTGATCATTGAACCTGGGTACTTATGAGTTCATTGTGCATTTCTTTCTACTTTTGTATATGTTCTAAATTATCTATAGTCAAAAGTTTAGAAAGGCAATAAGCAAGGTATGCAGAGTAGGAAACACCTATCACTCCCCGAGGGAGCCAAGGAAGACCTCACAGAGAAGGTGGCTTTGAGGATGACTCTTCCCAAGAGAGCAGTTGCATCTCAGAAAGAGAGGAGAGGTGTCCAGGTCAAACACTTGGTGTGTTCAAAGCATAGAGCAACTCCACAGGTTTGTCTGGGGAGGACCTGAGATACCATCCTCAGGGTCTTGGTGACAGGGAGCCATCTTGGGTTGCCAGCTGGGTGATGGCTATATATTTGGTCTGAGGAAACCTAACACTGAGGAGGGTGGAGCAGAGAAGAACACAATAGGAGGCAGAAAGGGCAGTGGGTGAGAAGAGCTGGGACTTACTGGAGCAGCGGCACTGGGGATGGACTGAGAGAGACATTAGGAGTCAGGGATTGAAGCTGCTGGACAGGACTGGGGAAGGAAAAGAGAATTCCAAATAATGAGTGGAGTTGGTAGCAGGCATTGCTTTGGAATAGGCTGCCTTGTTTTGACTCAAAACTGCTTAGCCCTGGAATCCTTTCCTCCCAGGATGGACCAGTTCTGGGGGCTGTGGGGAGCTTCAGCTGGTCTGGAGGTGCCTTCCTATACCCCCAAAATATGAGCCCCACTTTCATCAGTGTGTCTCAAGAGAACGTGGACATGAGGGACTCTTACCTGGGTGAGAAAAAGCTGTGGTTGGGGGCACAGGCGGGAGGAGATGAGCTGCCTGGAAAGGGCAGGAGCTTAAGGGATGGGGAGGAAGATTTTGTGCTGAGGCCTGCCCCCCCCACCCCCAGGTTACTCCACCGAGCTGGCCTTTTGGAAGGGGGTGAAGAGCCTGATCCTGGGGGCTCCCCGCCATCAGCATACTGGGAAGGTTGTCCTCTTCACTCGGGAGTCCGGACAATGGAAGCCAAAGGCTGAAGTTGCAGGGACCCAGGTTGGGTGTAGAGGAATCCAGAGTGGACCACGAGGGTGGCAGGGTGTCCAAGGATGGAGAGGGAGGAGATGAAGGGGTTTGGGGGACCACGGGGTAAGGTTCTGGTGGCAGGGGGCAGGCAGGCAGGGTGACTTCACGCTCTGCCCTCCAGATTGGCTCTTACTTTGGGGCCTCCCTCTGTACTGTGGATGTGGATAGAGATGGTAGCTCTGACCTTGTCCTCATTGGGGCTCCACACTACTACAAGCCGGCGTGGGGGGGCCAGGTGTCCGTGTGCCACTTGCCCCAGGGGGTGAGTGTCTGATGAGACCTGGGCTGGGTGGGGCCTGGGAGTGGGGTGGAGGGGTTGTCTGGGTTGGGGCATGACACTGGTTTTGTTCTGCAGAGGGCTAGGTGGCAGTGTGAGGTCATTCTCTGTGGGGAGCAAGGCCACCCCTGGGGCCGCTTTGGGGCAGCCTTGACAGTGCTGGGGGATGCGAATGGGGACAAACTGACAGACGTCGCCATCGGTGCCCCAGGAGAGCAAGAAAACCGGGGTGCTGTCTACCTATTTCATGGAACCTCAGAACTGGGCATCAGGCCCTCCTACAGCCAGGTGAGGCCCCTCTCTGAAGCCTCTTCCAGTTCCACCTCCTTTCCCATGTCTTAGATGTGCCTGATGGCCCTGTGCCTCTTGTCATGGACCTTAGTAGTAGCTATTCTCCTTTTAGGGGTTTATTGCCATGAATTTCACCAGGCCCAGCTAAGTGCAAATTATCTCTCTTTTGTCCTTTGGCTCCAAACAGACTCCAATCTGTTGTGGGCAGTTTAGTGGGTAAGAGATTGCAGGCCCTGGTCAAATGCCTGGCCAGTCATGTCAGCTGTGTTGCCTTAGGCAGTGAATGATTTAACCTCTGTGAGCCTCAGTTCCCCTCTATGAAACATTAAATGATAAACTCCATAGGCTTCTTGTAAAGATGACTCAATGGAGTACTAAGAACTCTGTTCATCAAATATTTATGAAGGAAGATACACGTGATGAGTAAATTAACCTATTATATTTCTATTGTTATGCTTTAATTTTGTCATTAGCCTGTACCCTCACATGAATTGGACCAAAGGAGCTTGCCTCTCTCTGTCTGAGATCCCTGGGGTCTCACTACACTTGCTTTCCATTCCTACCCCTTCATTTCTCCTTTTCAATTTTTCCATTCAGTTCTACTTTCATTCACTGTATTCTCCTTTCCAAATCTTTATTCTCAAACCTTTCAAATGACCTTCCCTTGACTTCCACTTCTCCTTTCCCTCTTTGGCCAGCGGATTGCAAGCTCCCAGCTCTCTCCCACACTCCAGTATTTCGGACAGTCGCTGAGTGGGGGTCAGGACCTCACCCAGGATGGACTAGTGGACCTGGCTGTGGGGGCCCAGGGACAGGTGCTGCTGCTCAGGTGATAACTCCCCACATCCCACCCTTTCCCTCTGTGTGTCCAGTTCAAAAGCTGCCCCCTCCCTTGTTCTCCTCCCCAAGGTCAGAGTCAGGTCCTCAGCCCCTCTTTGCACCCTCAGGAGTCAGCCAGTGCTGAATGTGGGGGTGACTATGAGATTCATGCCCTCGGAGGTGGCAAAGGCTGTGTACCAGTGCTGGGAAGAGGTGCCCACCACTCTGGAAGCTGGAAATGCCACAGTCTGTCTCACTATCCACAAAATTTCACTGGACCAGTTAGGTGAGTTTCTTCCTAGTGAATCTAGCCCCTTACCCCATAAAGGTTCCCACCCTATCGTCAGGAGAGAATGGGCCCAGGAATCCAAATACCACCTCCACATCCACCCAGCTGCCAGTGTTGGAAACCTGGGTCCCTTTTCTCCCCCTCTCCCCACACCCAGGCCATAGGTTCTATCCCCAGGATACATCTGCCCATTTCTCCCCACTGGCCCCAGCCACCTCCTACCTTTCCTACCTATACTTTGAGCTGTTCCCATGTCTGTTTTTTGCAGCTCCCACCCTATCTCCATAGAGAAACTATAGGGATTGTTCCTAAAATGCAAATCTAGTTTCCTTACTTTCCTGCTTAACACCCTTCAACCACTTTCTTCTTGCATTTAGAGAGACCAAAATCCTTCCCTACAATGTCCTTGCTGACTTTGCTCCTCTCTGCCCTTCCAAACTCACCTCATCCCACTCTCCCTTTTTGTAAATGTGCCATCCTCTCTCTCCCTTCTGGTCTTAGCCACCGTTCTCATGGTCTGGGATTTTCTCTTCCCCATTCTTCACCAACCCCTGCTCATCCTCCAGGTCAGAGATCAGACAAGGCCCACCCAGGGAGGCACCTCTGACGTCCAGCAAGCCCTCCTTGGTACAACTGAGGATCCCACTGTTGAGTTGATCATGGTGTGACATTAAGTCCTACATGCTCATCTCTTTTCCTAGACTGTGAGCTTGGGGCTATATTTCTCTATCTCCTTCCCTACCTATATCCCCAGCACCTGTTACATCTCATGACCCATAGAAAGTGCGCAGCAAATATTTATTGCACGAATAAAAAAAAAAAAAAACATAGAACTTCAGAGGTTCTCTTTGACTTTTCGTCTTCTGTTTCCCATTCTGCTCCAGATGATGTCCAAAGCTCTGTCAGGTATGATCTGGCATTAGACCCAAGCCGCCTGATTTCTCGTGCCATTTTTGATGAGACCAAGAACAGGACTTTGTCTCGAAGAAAAACCCTGGGGCTAGGGGATTACTGTGAAACCATTAAGGTGCTTTTACCAGTAAGTACTTTGGGTTCTGGGAAAGGTGGGGGGAGAAGGAGCCCAAGGATAATCTCTGGCATCTCTGCTGCCTGTCGGGTGAGGTGGAAAGGGTGGGGAGAGTGGGGCCTGAGAGAGGAAAGTTGAGGCCAGAGTACCTGGCTGAACAGCTTGCACAGAATTCTGACTGGACAGCAGGAAATGGATGCAGTTGAGAGGGGCCAGTGGTGGAAAGTAAGGAGAAGGATAGTGGGGCTTTGAAAGCCTATTCTCCCTCAGGACTGTGTGGAGGACGTGTTGAGTCCCATCATCCTACACTTCAACTTCTCCCTGGCTGGGGAGCCCATCCCCTCATCTCAGAACCTTCGCCCTGTGCTGGCTGTGGGCTCACAGGACCTCTTCACTGCTTCTGTGAGTCTTCTGACGAAATCCCAGGGATGTACTGATTTTCACCGTATCTCTGTGTGCTTCAAAACCTATTTTGGTTCCCAACCACATCAAGTCCAAATTGCCTCCACCCAGTTACCAAGGCCCCGCCTAGCTAAGACCCTTACACGTGTCCCAGCTGGTGCCCACTTTATCTCAATATAAACTCTCTGGTTCTCATTTTTCAAATCCTTCCCAACTTTTCTCATTCCTACTTCTGTTCCTTTTTCCATGTGGTATCTCCTACTTGGAAAACATTTCCTTCTCTCCACCCCAAAGATCTTCTCTAGTCCCCAAAGCTCCAGTCTTATCTTCCACTCTTTTGGAAACCACATTCAGCATCTATCACTTCCCTGGCTTCCTATTACTTCATGGTGATACCAACGTTACATGACTGGAATCATAGCAATCTGCATCTACTTTTGTGGGTCCTTTAGAATTGTGGGTTCCATAAGTACAAGAACCATGTCTAATTCACCTGTAGTTTCCAGTTTTTCTAACTCCCTCCCACCCCCTTATTGTTACTTAACAGTGTTGAATAATTGTTCCAATGTGAGTTGGATTTAACTCCTCAACTAAATTCTGTGCCCCTTGAAACCAAAGTTCTTATCATTCTTTTATATTCTAACTGCCCCTTCCCTACTGCCCCACTTCTTGTCAGTGTCTAGCACACTGTTGGGTGCAGAGTGGGTGTTCAGTAATACTCAATGATGAGTATTACTCATTATTAGGAGGAGTGCTCCTAATGAGGGGAATGAAGAAAGGTTGAGACATGGATGGGAAGAGATATTCTGTTTTGCTGCAGCTCCCCTTTGAGAAGAACTGTGGACAAGATCACCTCTGTGAAGGAGACCTGAGTGTCAGTCTCATCTCCTCAGGGTGAGTTCTATCTGCTTTCATTTCTAGACACTTAAGCTTTTGGGTCTCCCATCCTCATAGGATGAGATGTACTTTTGTTTCCCTTTGGCTCTCCTTCTAACAAAGAAATTTTGATCGGAGTGTTCTCAGCCAATAGTTCATGAGTTCCCACAGTCCCACCCCTACCCCCTACCCAATTCCAACTCATTTCCAATGGAGCCTCTTTTTCAGTTTTGTCCTTCCTCCTCCAGCCTGCAGACCCTGGTGGTAGGGAGCTCCTTGGAGCTTAATGTGACAGTGACTCTGTGGAATGAAGGTGAGGATTCCTATGGAACTGTGATCAACTTCTACTATCCAGCAGGGCTGTCCTATCGACGAGTGTTAGGAACTCAGGTAAATGGCTCCCTTGGGCTCCAGTTGCTGGGATCTCTTCCCTGCTCTGGGTTATAGTAGTTTTCTTTTAATTCTTCTCTGGTGAAATATAAACACACACACACACACACACACACACACACACACACACACACACAGAGTTCCAGAGTCAGAGAGGGATGGAGGGAGGGAGGAAGGGAGATAGAGTGAGAAGTGCATAAAGCTTATGTATAATGAATAATATTAATGAAATGTCTATGTAATTAGCATCAGGTCAAGAAATAATACACTGCTGGCACCCCCAGATGTCCTCCCTGTGCCTTTCCTTATAACCTCACTCTCTCCCCGAAGGTAATCACTAAAGTATATTAAGAACTGATGATCACAGTAAGAATCGTGATTGCCATTTCTTAGATAAAACCAGTGAGTTTTTGCCAATATTTGAAATTTATATGAATGGAAACATGTTATATGTTCTCTTGTATATTTATTCATTTCTTCAACATATGTTTGTGAAATTCATCCATGTTGTTCCTTGTGGCTGTAAAACACTTTTATTGCTATTTGGAATCCCTTTGTATGACTGTACCACAACTTATTTACCCATTTCACAATTGATGGTCATTTGAGTTGTTCTCTGATATTGGCCATGACTATTCTTGAGCATGTACCTTGGTACACATATGCATAATATTTGGAAGATGTATGTCAGTTATGGAATTTCTGAATCATTGAGTATGCATATTTTCAATTATAATAAGTAAAGTCAAACCATTTCCACCTATTTGCACTTCCATCACCTGTGGCTTTCCATCCATTCCAACACTTGGCATTGTCAGACTTTAAAATTTTTGTCTACCTGTTGATACCTCCTTGAAGTTTTAATTTACATTTATTTAATGAAGTTGAGCAAATTGTAATCATTTCCTGGTCATTTTGATTTCTTCTTTTAGGAAGTGCTTGTCCAAGTCTTTTCCTTATTCTTCTACTGAGTTGTCCATAGTTTTCTAGTTGTTAAGAGCTCTTTAATATTCTTGTTACTAATACTTTTCCAGTTATATGTATTAAGTATATTTTACAGTCCTGTTCCCAGTCTTTTCAGTCTCTGTATAGTGTCTCTTGATGAGCCAAATGTCTTAATTTGATTGTGGTTGAATTTTATCAAATATTTTCCTTTGTCTTTTTTTTTTTTTTAATGTGTGGATCTTGCCTGAAATGCTTCCCTACTCCAAGGTTATGAAGATAATCCCCTGTATTATCTTTTAAAAGCTTTATAATTGTGCCTTTTCACATTAGGAATTTTTATCTAGCTGGAATATTTTAATGTATGGAGTGAGGTAGGGATCCAATGTGTTTTGCTCTTTTGTTTGTTTTATTTTGTTTTGAACAGGCCGATTTTCCTAAGACCATTTTTTGAAAAGTCTGTCCTTTTCCCTACTGTTCTGCAATGCCCCACTGTTATATATCTAGCCCACATATGCACATGGGTAACATATTCGAATTTCTTTTCCTCCTCTGGAAGCAACCACACCAGCGCCCACTGCGACTGGAATGTGAGGCAGCGCCCACAGGGAATGAGAGCCTGAGGAGCAGCAACTGTAGCATCAACCATCCCATCTTCCATGAGGGCACTAAGGTGAATGCTTCCCCCCAAATCCTCATCACTCTGCTCCTTTGTCCTTACCCATTTTCTTCCCTCACTCCCCCATGACTTTCCTTATCCCCATTCTTTCATTCTTTTCCTCTCAGGGCACCTTCCTAATCACATTTGATGTCTCCTACAAGGCCACCCTAGGAGACAAGTTGTTTCTGAGGGCCAATGTAAGCAGGTGAGTCCAGGTGTATCCCTCACTCTTCCATCTCATGCCCCAGTCAGAGATTTCTCTCTTGGATTCCTTCCCAACTGGGCTCCCCCACCCCTCTCTCTCCAGTGAGAATAATAAGCCTACATCCAGCAAGACCACCTTCCAGCTGGAGCTCCCTGTGAAATATGCTGTCTACATGGTGATCAGCAGGTATTTAATACCTGCCCTCCCTTGACCTCTGACCTTCCTCTAAGCCTAGTACCTCCCATGGTTGCCCAGCCTGCTCTTGAAAGGATGGGTATCTAAACTATCCCCTCTGATTCCTCACATGGAAATACTTGTGACCAGCCGTACATTTATCTCTAATACCATCTACCATACAGTTCTTGCTTCTTCTCTGATGAATTGGCCTACTATTTGGATGCACATTTGCCACCATTGTGCACTCCTCTCTCTTTCTCTAAGATGGAAGCTTCCTTTAACATGAAGCCAATTCTGGTTTTGGTGCTAGATATGAATGTGCAGAGGTGAAACTAACTAGGTTAAGATTGAGGCTTTTTTTAGCACTCTGAAGTGGGGAATATGGTTTGTCACCACACAGAGGAAATAAAAGGTCAGGTTTTCACCAAACCAGAAGGAGAGCAGAGGTGTGAGAAACTGCTGGGAAAGTCTCTAAGAGGCCAAGGCTGCAGCAGGCCACAGGAGAGGCAAGTGCAGGGCTGTTGCTCTCAGTTTTCAAGGTGGGTGGAGGAGCAGGGGCAGGTCAGGCTGGAAGCAGAGCAAAGAGCCCTGAATACCTCACCAAACTCCAGAGGTTTAGTGAGTTGGTCAGAAGCTTATAATATTGCCACGGGACAGAGTTTGCTACTGTTGCTGCTGCTGCTGCTGCTGCTGCTGCTGACACATGAAATTTTAGGGGAACTGGGTTGGGGGTGCTGATCAAACAGTGTGTCATTGCCCTTCCAAACTCCGTGTCCTAATTTCCCCTTCTAACCATGGGAGAACAGTGAAACTTGTAATTTAAGAGCTTCCAGTTATATATACTTATGATATGACAGGCATTTTAAATGTACTTGACACGTATCTACATTCCTTTAATCCTTCGAATAACTCTATGACATAGTTATTGTTAACCACCCTTTTTTAGCAACAAAGAAATCAAGAGGTTAAATAACTTGCCCCTGTCAGTCAGCTGGGAAGTGATAGCACCACGAATCACTCCGATGGTCTGGCTCCAGAGCTTGTGCTCATGCCCATATACTATTGTGCCTCTCCAAGGATTGGGGAAACTGAGTGATTTACTCAAATTTGAAAAGAGAGTTAGAACTGAAGTTTTAAGGTGAAAAAACTGAAGCACAGAGAGAAACATTTGGGATCAGGAGCATAGAGGAGGGCAAACACACTGAGGGAAAAAATAAATTCTAACATTTATGTCATTGCTGCAAACTGCCTCACAACTCTATTACAGGCACTATTATTAGCATCCTCATTCTAAAGAGGAAGAAACTACAGGGCTCCAGAGAGGTTTAGTAGCTTGCCTTAAATTAGTTGGGTAGGAAGTGGTAGACTGAAATGTGAACCCAGATGGCTTGGCTCCAAAACCTGTGTTCTTAATCATCAAACTGACAGTCACATCTGTGGGAAAACTGGGGGGGGGGGGGGGCGTGGAGTTTCTGTATGGCTGGCCTGGCTTCTGTACACTAGCTGCTGGTGAAATGTGCAGGTCCCGTTGCTTGTTTGCTTGATTCCACTGAGACCTTAGATGATAACTCTGGAAAGACAGGGATTATGGCTTGTTAACTGTTGTATCTCCAGAGTCAAGCACACAGCCAGTCACAGGGTAAATGTTTACTGAAGAAGGCCATGGATGCATGGATAGATGGATGGAAACCCACCTGCAGCCTGGGACATTTATGTCCGCTCCAGGGTCTTGTGTTCATGCACCATCCTTTTTCACATTTACTTAGCTGCCCCAGGATAGCCACATTTATTTTATTCTTTCCATCTGGAGGGGCTTGCACTGCATTTTTTCCTGAGTGATCCAACCAAGATTCCCTTGAGTCCCCTTAGGCTTTTTTGTTCTGGCAGTGGCCTCTGCAAGCATTACCTAAGGCCAACCACGTACCTACTAGAGGAGAAAGCCATGTGAATGCCTTCTTCTCGTGGGAAAGTGTTTAAATGTTATAATAAGTAATGTTTAAGTTGGGCCTTTAAGTGACATTTTCCAGAAGGGGAGTGGTAATTACATTCCAAGCAAAAGAAAGAACTTGAACAAAGTTATGGGAACTTGAAAGAGCCAGGGTATCAGAGGGCAACCTAGCAGTTCTGGGTGACTGGGGCAAAAGTCATGGGAGAAGGGCTGAAGCTGAGTCTGCAGAGGCATGTGGGGACTGTAATTATATCTCTGGGCATTCTTCTGGGCCCACAGAGCCTTTGGAAGACGACTGGGGCAAAAGTGAGGATGGCTCCATAGCTGTTTCTCACCAACAAGCCCTCTCTCTCCAGGCAGGAAGAATCTACCAAGTACTTCAACTTTTCAACTTCTGGTGAGAAGAGCAAGAAAGAAGCTGAGCATCGTTATCGTGTGAGAAGCCAGGGAGCGTCCATATATCTTCCCTCCCATGGTGCTGCTAATGTTTGGAGCTTGTGGAAAAGAGACAGGCAGTGTACCTGAGGGCTAGATCCAGGAAAGGAGTAGGATTGGGGATGCTCTAGGACCACAATAACGTTGTGTCTCAATTTTCTGCAGGTGAATAACCTGAGTCAGCGAGATCTGGCCATCAGCATTCATTTCTGGGTTCCTGTCCTGCTGAATGGTGTGGCTGTGTGGGATGTGGCTGTTGTGGCCCCTTCACAGGTGCCTGCTTGCCTTTCCTAATGCTCCGGAGTCTGACCCCACAGTGCCCCACACCGTCTTACCAGTGAAATGTTGGTCATTTTGTGGCTATTTTCTCTCTCTCACTAGAGTCTCCCCTGTGTGTCAGAGAGGGAACCTCCCCAGCATCCTGAATTCTTGACCCAGATTCCAGGGAGTGTTGTACTGGTGAGAAAGACCCTGGATTCGCATTGCAGGACCAGCTGCATATTGGGGTATATAGGGAAATGCACTTGCTGGGTTGCAGATGTATACATATGTCCTATAATTGTTCATCTGTTCTCGACCCCAAGCCTGACAGAGTTTATTTTCTGCTGTCGTTCTTGCCTAAATCAAGACCCTCCTCAACTTCATTCCTCTCCTGTCCCTAGAACTGCTCCATTGCTGATTGCCTGAGGTTCCGCTGTGACCTGCCCTCCTTTGGCATCCAGGAGGAAGTTGAATTCATCCTGAAGGGCAACCTCAGCTTTGACTGGGTCAGCCAGGTGTGTAGGTCCAACAGGAGAGCCCCCCCTTCCCCCCAGGATTCAGGTGCCACCAGATGACGTCTGTGTCCATCCTCCAGCCAGGACATTTCTTGAACTCTGTGCCTTTCCCAGTGCTAGTTCCTCATCTGTGCCCCCTCTGTTTTGTAGACATTGCAGAAGAAGGTATTGATTGTAAGTGTGGCTGAAATCACGTTCAACAGGTCCATGTATTCCCAGCTTCCAGGACAAGAGGCATTCTTGAGAGCTCAGGTAGTGACTGTGTGGTAGGCAGTGGCCAGGCTGGTAAGAGGGCTCCTAATGCAAAATCTGTGGTGCCTTGTGGGAGACTCACAGGCCTGCAGGGAGGAAGGATGAAGGTCTCTCAGCAGGAGGGTTGTCCCTACGCCCATGAGTTTTTCTGTATGTCACCCCTTGGAGTAAAGGAGGGGAGAGAGCTAAAGGTTGGGAAACCTGGAAAGAGTCTGGGACAGCAAAAAGTCTGATGCTTTCTAATTCCCAAATTAGATGGAGATCATGCTAGATAAGCATGAGGTGTATGATCCCATTCCCCTTGTTGTGGGCAGCTCTTTGGGAGGACTGCTGCTGCTGGCTCTCATCACAGCCATCCTCTACAAGGTGAGTGTTTTAATCCCACTCTCAACACCAGCAGCATACAACCCAAGCCCTCTCAGAGACAGGATGGTATAGTGTAAAGAACTCAGACAATGGAGTCAGGCCAGCCTGTGTGTGCATTTTGGCTCTGCCTTGCTCACTCTTTAATGTCAAGCAATTTGCTCTACTTCTCTGAACTTGTTTTCTCATTTTTGAAATGATAAATATGCCTATATCTACAAAGTAGCTGAAGTGAGACAGAAACGAGGACAGGGTATGTGTGTAGGCCTGCCTATGAATCTATGCTGTTTTACTATAGCTTATATGCATAACCATTGTGCTTGGCACACAGTAGATAATACACAATAGCTGTTGTTCACATAAGTGTTCTGGCACAGAAATGCAAGCAAACTTCTCTTCTCTTTCAGCCTCTTCCTACTCCCAACTTTCTTCCTTGCCCTCTTACCCAGCTTTTCTGATTTACTTCCCCTCACAGCTTGGCTTCTTCAAACGTCAGTACAAAGAAATGCTGGATAACAAACCTGAAGACACTGCCACATTCAGTGGGGAAGATGTCCACTTTGAGGCCTCAAATTTGCCTTTGTCCTAATAATTCACTTTTCTGTTTGTATCTACCCCTATTGGCTGGGCTTGACTTTGCCTACAAATCTATTTCCATGGGAATAACTTCTGTATAGATATGGACTGGACTGAGCAACTTACCAGGTGCTAAGTCACTTTCTCAAGGTATTTGAAAGGTTTTTATATTTTAACATATTTGTCAGAGTTCTTCAGTGATGACTCACTTTTTACAAAAGCAAGCATTATGCCAGCATAAATTTTCATATATAAGAATTGCCATATTAAATAAAGATGTTTATAAAACATTCTTCTTTAATCAAAGAGCTTTAATTTAGGGACCTGAGTACTATTCTAGGAAGAGTTGAGGGACCCTGCTTGTGGGCCTAGAAAACATTCACTCACTTTTTCAGGTGATTGAGGCCTGAGATAATCTTTTTTTTAATGGCACTATATATGTAGCATCAGGGGAGTAGTCAAAGGAAGAACTCAATGTGTCTGTTTCTCATGGGTTTCAGCACAGGCTTCAGGCTCTTTGGTAATGTGAAGTGAGCAGACTGTCCTAAGAGGTGAGTGAAATGCCCTGAACTTGTTTGAACCGATCTCTCCCTTGAATGAGATCCCCAGAGGCTAGGAGAGCCAAGCTTCCAGAAAGGAGCATATGATTTCCCAAACTAATACAGAAGACTCATTAAGGGTGGTCATAGAGAATAGCTAAAATATTCCAAATCCAAAACTAGGTCATGAAGACTCACAGATAGGGCTGTAGTTCCTCTGTTTGAAATCAGGGTTGTTTCCAAAAACCAGAATTCACAAAAGCTGTGAATAAATGTCAAGAGACAAGTGGTACTTCAGAGTCTGCAGCCCTGAGTTTCCAGGGACCTCTGAGGAGGGCCCTTATTTAAGTCATATAATATCTGAGAATCTCATTTCCTCGTCTGGAGAAGGGGAACCAAAATTATATCTTGTTCCCAGAGTTACTGTGAGGTTAGTGTTATGTGAAAGACCTTTACAGGCTATAGCCCTAATTATCAATAGGTGAGAGAAAGGGAGGATGGAGATCTCCTACCTAGTCATCAAGGATGTTCCCTGGAGCACCTCCCAAATCATGGCCTTGGGAAGAGCATGTAGACCACAGACTGCATTGTGCGCATGCACCCAGTGGAACTCCTTGGAGGCCCCTCCAGCCCCTATCCTGGTCCCCAGAGAGCCTGCGGACACACAGTTTTCACACCTTTATTGGGGCTGGGGGCATCCACTGGGGCCTCAGGGCCATTCACTGTTCATAGCCGGTGGGCAGAGGGTTGACACGGGGGTTGTGGAAAAGAGTATGGTTGCCGTCTCCCCAGGAGTAGGGCTGTGAATAGAGGAGAGCAGATTGTCAGCGAGGTCCCGGCCAGGGGGTCCCCCAGCACCCCTTGCCCGTCTGAACCATGCTCCCGCTCTGGGGGCCAAGGCTTCAAGCCAGCATACCTTGGTGCGGATACGGAGGTGGTGGTATGGGATGAACTTGGGGCGTTCACGATGGCCCGCGTGGAGCCAGGAGTTAAGGGTGCAGAGGGCCACACTCGGGAGCGCCAGCACGAAGGTCAGGAGGCGCCAAGTGCTGGCTACAGCAGGGTGGGGGGAAGGCAGAGATGAGAGAGAGGTGGGGAAGGGAGGGCCTCTGAAGGTTAGAGTTAAAGGGTGGGGGGGGGGAGGCGGAGGGGGGGTCGGTCCTCAGAACCGCGGAAGGCCAGACAGGTGGGAGAGGGGTACAGGTATGTAAGCCACAGGGTCAGGCAGCAGCCCTACTCACCTCCTGCCCCTCCATGGTCTCCCTTTGCTGTACTTGCCAAGCCCCGACTCAGGGACCTCAGAGGCAGAGCCATTGTGGTGAGAGAAGCTGGAAACAGTGAACTGCCCTTTCACTCTCCTTCACCACGGCCTAGATTCCACTCCCTTCTTTTTGGGCCAATCACCTGTTGAGTCTGTAACATGGGTGGCTATTTTTAGGGGGTTTCTATATTTAAAATGAGGCCTTTACTGGCCTGAGGTCCTTCTCTCTAGACATCTGCCATTTGGTGCTTCTTATTTTGATAAGGGGACATTTAAAAACAATATGCCGTTCTTTTTACAGTTGCAGGGAACTATTTCCTTCAATATTCTATTCCCAGTGGGTGTCACACAGCAGGTTTTTAGTATTGTAGATTGAATAAAGTGACCTTTTGAATCTCAGTTTTTTAATCTGTAAAATGTATAAGAATTTATACCTTAAATGAAGTTTATGAAGTTTAATCAAAGTAACATAGGAATATGCCAGCATAGAGTCTAGCACATAACAGTAGCTCAGTATATGCATTAGTCACAATATTTTACAAAGAATAGAACTCACTCTAACTGGTTTTTAAAAGATAAGCAATTGGGGCGCCTGGGTGGTGCAGTCGGTTGAGCGTCCGACTTCAGCCAGGTCACGATCTCACGGTCTGTGAGTTTGAGCCCCGCGTCGGGCTCTGGGCTGATGGCTCAGAGCCTGGAGCCTGTTTCCGATTCTGTGTCTCCCTCTCTCTCTGCCCCTCCCCTATTCATGCTCTGTCTCTCTCTGTCCCAAAAATAAATAAACGTTGAAAAAAAAATTTAAAAAAAATAAAAATAAAAGATAAGCAATTGAGAATCTTAGGTAGCTCACAGTACCTCTGGTATGGCCAGAAAGGCCAACAATCTGTGCAGCTAAAAATAAACCATTCTGTGGGCCAGCTGCAGTGAGACACCACCATAATTTGCACTGCTATACTCCAGATGCCAAAAACTTCACCCATGCTTCCCTGGAAAAACAGATTCTTCCACCCTCACACCCTCTGGAAAGTGGATTTTTCATGAATTTTGCATCCTTGGGTTGGTGTCTTCTCAATCAGAGAAATCATGTGGACCCCAGTTGACAATAGGTCATTGCCTGTACCCTAGCTTCAAGAAAGGCTTGGAAATTGAGTTTGCATTCTGCCTTAAGGAGACAGGAATTATATCTTGAAGAAAATCCCCAAATACAGGAAGAGTATTCAAAAGATACTGGGTGCAGTGCCTGGGTGGCTCAGTTGGTTAAGCGTCCGACTTCAGCTTAGGTCATGATCTTGCAGTTTGTGAGTTTGAGCCCTCACTGGGTTCTGTGTTGACAGCTCAGAGCCTGGAGCCTGCTTCAGATTCTTTGTTTCACGCTCTCTGCCCTTCCCCCACTTGTGCTCTGTCTCTCTGTGTCTCTCAAAAATAAATAAAAACATTTAAAAAATTAAGAAAAAGGTAGCCACAGACTTGACAAGTATCTACTGCTAAGTATGTTATTTCAAGCTGAAAAATCTGATTACATGGAGGAAAAAGAAAGCCTGGGTAGACCTGTGTAAGCCCTGTATCAAAGCAGGTCATTAGAAATATACAAGACAGCGGAGTTGATTTCTGCCTGGCTCACTGTTCTGTCCTCAGCACTAGCACAGAACCTGGCATGAAGTAGTTGTTCTAAAAATATGTATTTATTGAATGCTCGAATGATGTTACATTGGTTAACCCTATAGAAATGCCTTTGCCAAAGTACAATCCTACAGGATATCTCCAGCTTGGATCAGGACTGATGTGATGGACCTAATATGAATGTAATATATAAAAGAAAACATGATTTTTTTGTATCTAATCTGAATTACAAAAGAAAAATGAGGAAGGTACATTTTTACGAAGGGGATCCATACTTGTTCCTCCTGTTGGTTTGAAACTGAACACTAGCTTCTACTTAACTTTCTGAGGCTTTTTTTTTCTAAGTAACCTTGTTGAACATTCAAATGGTATATAGTGTTTCTAAATTGTTCCTGAGCCCTCACTGAGCTATAATGGAATTCTTTCTATGACTGCTTTTTCCCACTTGGACTTTGGAATTGCTACTGAGAAGATGGGCCTTATTCCATTTCAGGTTGTTTGGCATTTCCCTCCACATACAGTCTCCTCAGCTTATGATTATGGCTTCTAGAGAAAGCATATGACCAGGGGTACTTTTACTTGAAAACATTCTACATCCTTCTCCCTCCACTCAGAGCTTTGTTGGTCACTGCCTAACAATTGCCTGAGTGCTCCCATCCCTTTGTCTCAGCTTGGAAATTTCCAGGAAGAGTTTTCTTGCTGGTACTTGGTGAATGCCCCTAGAGATGCTACCATTCTCTGCTACTGTCACGCTCATGTGATGCACCTATCCAGTACTCAGTTTTCTATTTAGGTAGTCTGTGCTTTCCTAGATTGATCGGTGTAGAGGCAATGTAGAGCAGGTCCTTCAGTCTTTGTACCCACCATTTTTTCATAAGGTCTCTCTCACACAGTCAATTAATTGGGCTGCTTCCAAAGCTTCTAGTTTCTAGAGGCTTAGATTTTTCTTTGCTTTAGGTGGAGGGGAGAACTTTCCAGTTGTTAAGTAAACCCCAGTGGGCAGCATCCCCAGCCCTTTCCAGACATTCTTCAGCTATTGCTGGTGAAGAGTGTGGAGAGACGATTCCATGCCAGTTTCTCTTGTACCTCTTTCCTAGGATGCTACATATCATCACCATATTCTCCAAAGCAAAGATCAACATCTGATCTACTAAATACAAATTTTGGGTGGCCATACATACCCAAAATACAAATTTTGGGTCCCAGGTTGGGACCAACCTGGCAGAGAAGTAGGGGGATCTGTACTTCCCACATCTCTCAAACAAAGAAGGGCTGAAGTCAAAGGACTTTGAACCCCAAGAGACTATGAGGAAAGAGACTGAGTCTAACAAGAAGACACCAGAACAACCTGATGGGCTATAGGTGGGTGATTGCAAACTGGGGAAGATAAAATGGGCTGCATAGGCATGGAGAGGAGAGATCCCCTTCTGCAGAGAGACAAAGGGAAGAGAAAGAGCAGCTGGGGAAGAATAAGACTGTATCTGGACAAGAGAAAAACCTTGGACCAGGATGGAGAGGGATCCCATCTCTAACTGCAGGGCTTTCTTTAGACTGGGGCTGGCTGCCCTGTTCATGCACCTTGGGAGAAGGGGAGCTACCCCCCGTTTCACTGGTAGGTCAGGGCACAGTCTGCAGGAGAAAGTGGTCCTCCCTGAAGTGCTGCAGCACAGGACAAAACCAGCCTGGACCACATATCGGTCAGTATAGAGAGGCACTTCCCCAGTGCCAGGGTGCATGGAGTGGGGGTTTAAATCCCAGCCAAGCACCAGGCCATGGGAGTCGGCAGAGCGAGACAAACCATCTCATCTGCACCTGTGGCACAGTGAGGACAGCTCAAATGGAGTGATTTGGGACACTGGGTCCGTGGAAAAG